AGTGACCGTGCAGAGGTCCCCCCGCTCCAGGAAGGGGCGTAACTGCCGCACGACACGAAGTCGTGCAAAGGCCCTCCTGGCCACGACTGCCACCTGCTCTTCCAGCAGGAGGCATGTGTCCAGGAGAACCCCCAAATTACGCACCGGGTATACTAGAAAAGCACCATCCACTCTGTTTTGCAAAACATAATTAAATGTCCTGCAACTCAAATAGAAATAAACTGCATAAACTCACAGGTTTTAGGCCACATCGCTTCTAAATCATGCCATGTTTTTGAAAAGCCAAGGCAGTAAATTGGAACATGAATTTTTGAGCTGATTATATAGGGTCCAAGTAGCTACTACTCAACTGCATTCCTCAATGTCACATGCTATTCTCTTTTTCAAATATGTGTAAAGCCTCTCTTTAGGAAAGTGAATAATACAGGTAATATACATATAATAATAAATAGTGATTAACAAAAGAAAAACAAAACAAGAAGACCTGAATTAAATACAGCTATCAGGGAAAGTAGCACAATGGCATTCCACAGAAAAACTGACATAAAAACAACCAAATATAAACTAATAATTTGGTTATATGCAAAGCAGCAGCCTGTTCTTCATCTCAAAAGAAGAGGATATCAGGAGTTGGATGCCACAACTGAAAAGATTTATGTTTTGGCTAATCCAGCCAAAGAATCTCTTAATTTCTTTAGTGATTCCACTGACATATTGTAAAACAAAAGCTAGGAAAATTAACAGGTAATCAGAGGTACATCTTCACATGTGGGAATCAGTGAGCCTCATATATTTGAAATAATTTAGAATTTGTAGCTACCCTACAGGCAATGTAGCTTGGAAGTTAAACTTGATTTATAGATGAACAAATGAAATTGCCATACATTTCTGTCATGTACTTAACAGGCTCATTGGATCAGAAGTGGCATAATTCCTTCTAGATTTATTTCGGAGATAAATATAATTTAAAATCTTGCTACCACTCCCTCAAAAAATCTTTACGTTCCTTCACTGATGCTATCTTCTCTCTTATAAGCCACTCAGAGTCACAAATGTGAGATGGGCGGGTATACAAATCAAACTCATAAATAAAAATAAAATAAAATAAATAAATAAGATGTTTTCCTGGTAATGTCATATCTTAGGCATTGAAGTGGAAGATTACTGTAGTCTATCACTTACTCAGAAGATCTGCTATTTAGAAACAAATTTTTCTCAGCAACAACATTGTGTGAATTTATTGCAAAATGGGAAGACAGTATTTCTGTTTAGCGGTATTAGGCATGCTACCGGACATACCATTTTACTACGGGACAAACTTTACCAGTGTGTGTGTGTGTGTGTGTGCGCGTGTGCATGCACGTGCATCTGCACATATAGATAAGCTTATTATCTCCTTTGAATATTCCTGTCGCTTCTCACATCTTAGCTTTCTTCCTACCTTCCTTGTAAGAAAGTAACCAGTTAACCCTTTGCTTGCATTCTACTAATGCAGCCATCTATAATTTCATCCCACACCTAACCATTATTGCTTAGTTGACTTCCATGGAGTCAACCTTACTACCCAAGAAGCTCTGAATGGGAGATAGCAGAGACGGAACCTGGATGAGCTTTATTATAAGTAATGCCTCCTACCTATTTAGATTTCTATAGTCAAAGGTGTGTTTAGCTAGCGCTTCCTTAACAGCCTTCAACAAGTCCCTTGGCTCTAGCATACTGCACTCAAGTAAGTGTGGATAAGAACTGTAATAACAAAAATGTAGTCCTGAGAGCTTTGCTGCTAATTTGGATGCGGATGTACTTTCTGTGCCCTCTTTTTCTTGATTCAGATATAACTTGTGTTCAAATCCTGCAACTATAATATATTAGCATCAACAAAAATTGTCATCGCAGATGTCTTTTTTTGGCAACATCAGGGCTGTATGAAGGGAAGATCATTCTTAAGGAAGCTAATGCACAAACCAGTTAGTTCTGCTGGTTGTTATTTTTTTCTTTTTTTAATAAAGCAACATGGTTGAACAGTCATTTGCCTTCCCTGTAAATCCAACCCTCTTCTTAAACTGCAAGCTTTGTAGGAATATGACTACCCAGAAGTTGTGAAATAAAGGAAAAGATTAGGAAAAGTCAGTGATTGGAACCAGCAGTTCAAGCAAACATCAATATTGGAGCTTCCTATCAATAATTACTACCATTTGAAAATAAGCAACACAACACAAGAGCCACCATTCATAACGAAACCAAAGGCCTCTTTTTTCTAACATTTCTCATTCTGCTTCTGGAACCAGCCAACTAAATGCCCATGAACGTAACCGTTCTTTTCCACTGTTATCATTAGCATCTAACACTGAAAAGCACAGGGGCTCTCATTCTGGAAATAGTTAATAATCGTGTTCTCCAAGCGGCTGTCAAATTCCTTTTTACACCAATGTATCTTCAGGTAGCTAAACCCCCAATTTGATGTATCTATCCCCTTTTACCTATTGCCCTCTGGTGACCTTGAGTTCTAGGATTCGGACTGAGAAAGAGAACCTCCAGGATATTCCCTGTGATTTTAGAGCTACATATGCTCCTTGCCAAATTTAAAAATCTCTTTGCAGTCAAATTCAGGCATTTGGTATAAGCAATTTGTCCCTGTCATCAACATCCTGTGAGAGAAGGGAGAATGGAGAGAGCCAGAAAGAGAAAGAATAGAAAAACAGGTGCTAGAAAAAAACTCTGGTTTCATTGACTGTTGGATTCAGCTCTAGAATTACTCCCTGCTCTATGACATGTATAAATTTATGCTCCTGCATCATACCTTCCACACTTGCTTAAAAAAAAAAAAAACTAAAAGACCCCAAACATCATATTTTTTCACACAGAGGAAATACTCCAGTATCCTGATTTAAGGCCTTTTTTCAGGCTAGTTAATTGCAAGTTCAAATACATGACTATTATTACATTCTAATACCTGGGGTATTTTCATTCCCTAATTATAATTCTTGACAAAGTTCCGTATAAATCGATTTTATTGGGCTTTTCTAAGGGCCAGCTTATGCCTTTATGCATATTCAGAACCTGTCGACTGCCACAACCAGTGGTAATTTATACAAACAGGTAAGCCACCAGGAATCTGGTGTAACAAACTAACATTTCCTAGTCACTGTAAAGATAATACATTACAACTGGAATCCTGTAATAAACTGCATTTATCAAGCACTGAGTCATAAAGATTATTGGAAATTGATCAGCCTGATAAAAATAAAAAGCATTTCACTGTGTCCCAATGTATTCAGATGGGATAAGAGAAAACCAACAAAACCATGTCTTAACATGGCTACTCCAGGCACCCATACACCCAGTGACACCTCCCACAGACATCTGCCAGACTTCATGCCTCACGTGATCCTATTCTTTTTATGTAAAAATAAAAATAAGAAGGAATGTGGGAAGGTGAAAAACAATACATCACCCTCTGTTTTCTGGGGGTCTTGTGATCTCTCCCCCACAACAGCAGTTATTTTGTAAAGCACCTGTAATATGCTTTCAGATTCCAAATATGCCTACCAAACCAGAAAACTACATGATTCCTGAAATATATCTTAAATCAGAAACTCTTGCTTTATTAATGAAGCCATCAGCTCTCTTAGGAAAAGGTAAAAAAAAAAAAAAAAAGATCCATGGAGATTATCAGTGAGGAACATTTTTTAAATGAAGACCTAAATACTCAGAAATGCACAGCAATTTTTTTATAAATGACAAAGGAAATGACACTGCTCTTTCAGAGCTTGCAAAATGCAATTCAGAGTGAATGAGTGAAAGTGAATAGCAAGAGATCCAAGACAACAAATTCCATGTACTGTAATGTATAAATCACCTAGGAAATTTCAGACTTGCACAATTTGTGTTCCTTCCAAGAAGAACACAAGTTATACTAATGTATGGCTTCTGAAGGGTTCAATAAATCTGTAGATCTTACTGTTTGCCCAGAACTGCAAGCACAGAATCACTTTCAAGAACATGTCACTCTGCAATTCAGGGCCCCATGTTGGTTTGTGATTCAGCACATGTACAAACCTAAGCTACATATAATCAGTTCATTGATCAAGGTTTAAAGCAAATGGCATATGTATTTGGAAACTGGGTAAATTACTTCAACTCAACTTCTTTCCAACATACACAAACATAAAACCTATTAACCTATTTATCATCCCACAAGCATAAAATCAATGGAAGGAAATATGTGGTGTGTGTTCTTAGCACACAAATAAGTTTTCAAAATGCAAAAATCAATTCTTTCTCACACTTAAGGATACACATACATCCAACACAAAGATGAGATGTCCTCACATTGGATTCAAGATGAAATACTTGAACTGAAATAATTATTTTCACCTAACTATCCATGATGAACTCCAAGATGTAGCAAGATACCCTTTTTGGTATGTGTTCCCCATTTTAACCTTCAAAGGCTTTTCAGCCCAGGCAAGGAATGTTCAAGGTGCAGACAGCAGTGCTAACTGTTCCCTGATGCTTAAGATTTGCTTCGATCTTCTTACCTTATGTTTTGAACAGAAGGATTCAGTGTTTCATCCAGCAAATTGTTTGTTACAGCCGTGTGTCCTTCCTGGATGGGTTGCACTGATTGCATTAAATGGACTGTCCGATAAAGCTGAGTTGGATGCACTGGCTGAGTAGACTGCATTGTCCTCAGTACTTCAGATGTCATAGGAGGCAGGGGCTGTTGAACAGTTTCCAGGGGCTGCTTAAGTTTGGAAGACTTGGCATTGACTGGTATCTTTAAAATAGCAGTAGATCCACTTCCTTTTGACCCTGTATTTGAAGATGCTTTGGATTTGCCTGCTTGATTTCTGTTGGCCACGGGGGTTGAGAGTAAAGATGAATCAGGAGAGTCTATACTTGAATTTGGATCATCATCATCTATATAGATGAGATCTTTTGGCATTTCCTTGAACTGATACACCAAACGTTGCCCCTCTACTTTGGCTAGAATACCTCTTTGGTAATAATATCTGTTCAAAGAAGGAAAATACACCAAAGGTTATACAAAGGATGACATAAAGGCAAAGCAAATCTGCCTAATGGCCAATTTAACACTAATAAAAAGTTATCACCTAACATGTTTTTTTCAGAATTTACAGAACTTACAGCTATTTCTACCATTATTGAGCAGTGAAAACTTTTAAGTAGCTCCACCTAATAAATTCATCTGCATATTCTGAAACACCTCTGCACAGTCAATTATACTGGATTGTATTAAACTCCTTCCTTCAACTCAAGAGGAGGTTCTTCAATCAAAGCTTCTATGAACAGAAGGAGAAGAATGGTAAATTCTCTGTTACCCTCGGCCCTTCTGGAATTGATTTGTGGGGAAGAGATATAAAGGCAGACGAAAGGCAGAATCAGCAAACACTACATCTCCCATCCATTTATGGAAACATTCACTGGATAGAAGAGCTTTGTAGGAATGGAGGGACGTAGGACTGCATGGCTTTCCATTTACAACTAATGATGTGAAATGCTGTTCAAAAAACAGAACTAAGGTGGCTTTATCAAGTCCTTCTGTGAACCAACCTTCAGCTTTGGGCCAAAAGTCATGAAAATAAGGTATAGAATTTGGTAACCATATTAAGAGTGGAAAATTTTACATCATGGCCAGTTCTCTGCTAGGTTGTTCTTCTTAAGCTTTTTTGTACTGCGGGGTGATACAATATTATTGGAGGTATGGGGTTTCCAAGTGGATTGGAATTATTCTAGATCTTAATAGGCCTGTTAAGCCTGTTGGAGGTTTGACACACCTCTGTCCTTTCATTTTCAGTCAAGGATCAACGGAAAACCACATCACCTGATTCCAAGGGACATAAAAGAAGTTGTTCAGGGGCTACATACATCCACAAGCTGCTCACGCCAGAATACAAGATGATCTGGTATGGTATAATATAATAAGTACCATACATATGATATGAAGAATTAGGAGTAAGATAAAGTTTTAAAATGCAAAGTGAAATGAAACTATTAACATAAATTTTTTAAACTGAGTAAAATGGAAGAGTGTAGTAGTAAATGCCGCTTTTTAAAACACTTACCAACAGATGGCTATGTATCATGTGTGTGAAATGCAATTTAAGCAATACTTACCTGAAACTTTGAAATTTAAAAGAGAAATCTAATTTACTGAATTGATAAATTTATTTTTAAAACCCTTCCATAGCAACATTCCTAGTGTGATTTACACAAAACCTGCATCAGTCCCTATCACACTGATCAACCTTAGAAAATATTTGAAGAAAGCAATTAAAATTGTTATAAATAGCTGCTTAGAGTTGTTGGGAGTCAGGCAGCATGCAAAGTAGATCGACAAATAAATAAATAATAGATAAACACAATAGAATCCTTGGAAAATAAAAAGTTTTTTTATAAGTGGTGAGGATACTGGGTTTAAAAAAAAGCACTACATATACTGGATAAACGTTTTCCTTTCCAAAATTTTCCAGTTTACATTTGTAGCAGTACTTGTACACAACTGGGACAAAGAGTTACAAATACCTTGTAGCAATACTGTTAAATAATGCTTATTTACTTTAACACTTGTTAAACATGTAACACTGTTGGTAGATAGAGATCATGACTTGATTTAAAAGACTTTCAACCAAAGGCAAGGCATTAAGAGCGGAAAGAAAGGTGGCATTTTCCAAAATTCACCTACCTGAGAGCTCTGCCCATTGTTTCATAGTTCATATCCGGTTTATTTTTGTGCTTTCCCCATAACCTTGACACAGCCTTGGAATCTACTAATTTAAAAATGCCCTTTTCTCTTTGAGTCCATTTAATGTATTTAGGACAAGTAGCTTTGTCCTGAAGCAGTGCCAGTAAGAATTCCCAGAGATAAATTGTGTTTCCTGAAACAAATACATGAAAAGACAAAGCCCTTTATTAAAGTTGATTCCTTACCTTATTGATTGGGGGGGGGCTCTAACTAGGAGCACAATGGGTGTAATATTTGCAGGCTCCTGATTCTATGCAGTCTAGCCAAATAATATCTACCCAATAATTCAGTGGTGCAAGCAGGGATGGGCTTGCCCATGTAACACCTCTGCTTCGCGAGCTGCACTGGTTGTCAGTTTACTTCCAGATGTGATTCAAGGTGCTGGTTGTTACCTATACCTAACTGAGGGACCGTCTGCCTCCCATAGTATCTGCCCGGTTCCTTTGATTAAACAATAGGTATCTATTGGGGCCTCAGAAGCGCACCTTCCCTGTAACAGTGCCACCCTTCTGGAATGAGGTTCCCCCCGAGATCTGGATGGATGGCCCCCACTCTGCAGTTGTTCAGAAGAGCACTAAAGACCTGGCTCTCCACCCAGGCCTTTGGCGAGGGACAGCGAGACCCCTCACTTCATTCCAACGGGTCTGTCACGCTTGCTATCTTTTATCTTTGATTTTATTGTAATTTCTTTCTTTGACTGTTGTGAGCTACCCAAAGTCATTGGGAGTTGGGCAGCATACAAGTTTAATATATTGTTATTCTTGTTGTTGTTGCTGTTATCATCTCCACATGAGAGCCATATACTTCTGATGGCATTCTTCCTACGGTAGCAGTAAGTGAAGACTCATGTTGAATGATTTTAAAAAAGCAGGTCAGACTTTGTGCAGAGGCAGAAGCGGTCTGAAGGCCGCATGTGAGATTTGTGAAATAGCAAGAGAAAGTGGATGAGATCAAAGCAGAGAGTGAGCACGTCCTGAGCAAAGCCAATGTATTTCTTAAGCCCATTTTTCTTTTCTAATAAAAATACTCTCCACCCTCTAGATGGTAAGTTAACTTGCTTCCTGAACATGGCAACAGCTGAGGCGGCAGCTAGAAGTGTGGAAAGAATGTCAGGGGAAAAGCAGGCTGTGTGTCGACATACTAAAGAATATATTCATTTTTGGTAAATTTCATATCATTGAAGTGCTATATTCAGACGAGTAGTACTTTACCAGCATTACCAGAGTCCATTGACAATGGTGCATTGGAAAAAATATTTCTCCCTTAAAATGGCAGGAAGAGGAGAAGAGAGGGAGAGAATAGAATAGCAGTTGCCAAGGAATAAAAGAGAGATAATCTTCCAACTTGTTTATTGTGATTGCTCTAGTTCACTTCATATGAAAGGTCAGAAAGCTACAGAATTTATTTCCAGCCCCTATCATCAGAGTGAATATTAAATAAGAACAAGCTGTTTATCTTCACATGAGTGCTTCACTCCTACTTTACTCAGAATTTAATAGATTCAGTTATTTTCCTCAACTCACAGCTCACACTGTTTGCGCTTACCCTTCCCATCTTTGTTTTTCTTTTTCACGGATATATTTGGAGTCAGACTAGGTGATTCTGGGCGGGGAACTTTGGGTTTCTTCCCTGAAAGAAAGCAGCAGTTACAGAAAATTTCTTAACAGGAACTAGAAAAAAAACACTGGCCAATCAAGTCATTCTTTCTACCCTGGCCAAATTTTAAGTAACCAAATTGCCAGGAGTGTTTTAAGGATTTAAGCACCATACGCTATTTCAGCTCTACAGTTTCACAGCAAAACAGTTATAAAAAACTCTTTAAAAAATCACAACATATATACAGTACTGTGCAAAAGTTTTAGGCAGGCATGAAAAAATGCTGTAAAGTAAGAATGCTTTCAAAAATATATATTGGAATTGTTTATCAATTTGCAAAATGCAAAAGAAGAAAAACCCAAATCAAATCAATATTTGGTGTGACTACCATTTGGCTTCAAACCAGCATCAATTCTTACACTTGCACACATTGTACACTTGCACAAAGTCTTGTAGGATTAGAGTCAGGTGTATGATTAACCAGTTATACCAAGCAGGTGCTAATGATC